CCCCCCCCCCCCTCCCCCCACCTTTCTGTCTATCCCTTCGCACCAGCTCTCCTCGATAATTCACTGATACCCAAGGTAAAAGCCAACAGGCGTTCTCTGCTCGGTCAATCCTGGACTTTGCCATAGGCTGTAAGGAGAGAGAATCGAACGCCCAGGAACTAGATATAGGCTGCCACGACAAGTAAGCAAGTAAGCAAGCGTCTAGCAACGGACAGTTTCCTGCTTTCGAAACTTGACTTCACGCCACTTTTGAATGTCGTCTTAAAATATACCCATCTTGTAAATTAAGGGAAAAGTGACCGATAATCTGAGTATTTCGATATTTTTAAATATTTTTAGTTGAAAAACAAAACAAAATGGATACACCTAACAATTTGTTAACAACCAATAGCCAGAGAACGCGAAAGACCGAAGGCAGATCGAGTCTCAATTCGTGTCAAATTGTTTGCAAAAGTAAAATTTTCTATACCGATGGAAAAAAGTAGCTGGCTGCTTTTAGAGTCAAATCCAGAGAGACTGTAGTGCATTATAGAGTTTGTAATTTTGTTACGCGGGTGGTGTTGGCTATAGTGCTACTATGAAAAAGTTACAACTTGTAACACGAAGTTTTCTTTCTGTTGCAGAAACACAAAGTCGCCAGAAGCGAAACTTGGAAAATCGAAACAAGAATTCGAACGCCAGTGTAATCATCACTCGTGAGGACTTCAATAGAGAAGTTCAGCTGGCCTTGAATAGATTGCTCTGCAAGACGCATTGCCCAAAGGGAATTAGAGGGAAACGAGGAAGGCCTGGTCACCCAGGCAAACATGGACCAGCCGGGCCCCATGGACCACAGGGACCAAGAGGAACTCGAGGAGATAGTTCCTTATCCGTTCCTTATCGCACTCACGTTAAGCTGCGCGTGTGGGTTGACTCAGTACCTACCTTAATAGGGTAAGCAGCGTACTGTAAGCACTAAACTGCTAGGAGGCGTGGCAGAGGGAAAGTGAAGGAGAAACGTCTTTTGCCTTTTCCTTCGCCCCTAGATAGTTCACTTTTGAATATTTTATAAATAATTCTTTTTTCTTATTTATAGAAACCTCTACGAACAAGAGATAAATATTTGCTTAACTTAGGGGAATTCAAATGGTGTAAGAGTTAAACTCGCAATAAAAGATGTCTTAAGTTAGAGAAAGAAGATCTTTCTTTTTCGCCCTCAAGGAAACAGAGGGATATGCTCTACAAAACTCTTGTTTTTGTTTTTATTGCAGTGGGAGCCTTAATTATTCAAAGGCCGTTATCTGTAATGGTTGAAGAAGGAGAGAACATCACCCTGCAGTGTAAAACTAGTGGTGTACCTAAACCTGCTATCACGTGACAAAAAGCGTTTAGCCGGATACCAAAGAAGAAAAGGGCAGTGGAAAATGGGAGCCTTACAATACTCAAAGTAGAAAAAGCAGATGGCGGGACGTATGCATGTACTGCAAAGAATCTCCTTGGACATGACACCGCAATCGCACAGGTGACCGTGATCGACAGGCTTAAATTTACCCTGACTCCACCCATTAAAACTGTCACCTCGGTGTCTTGGAAGTTGATGTTGCACTGTGAAGCTCAAGGTGCGATAGAAGTTGACTGGATTAGAGTGGGAAAACATCTTCCACGAAATCATATTTTGTATCCAAATGGTACTTTACTTCTTAGGAACATTTCACCAAATGATGCAGGATCCTATACGTGCGTGGCAAAAAACTCTCTGCGTTCAGTAACTGCGACCATCTGTTGTTAAAGTGATTACACCTAAGTCTTGCAGCAGTCTTAAGTCAGGTCGCGGTGGAAGTTCATCAGGTAATTATACTATTGACCCTGATGGCAAAGGAGGCGTGGAACCTTTCAGTGTGTATTGTGATATGAGTGACAAGGGAGGAGTTGGCGTAACAGTCATGAGTCACGACAGGGAGAGTGGAGCTCATGTTGTCCATATCCCTGGGTGTGGCGTGACTCCTGGATGTTACTGTTGTCACAGAAAAGATGTATCTTACACTGGAGTTAGCACAGCTCAATCGGCGGCACTCACTCTAGTCTTACAACTGAAACCTGTGAACAGTTTATTAAATTTGAGTGTAAAAATGATGTTGCCTTTGTGCCAGAGTCAGTTGCCTGGTGGGTGTCACGTGATGGAAGAAAAATGAACTACTGGGGAGGCGCTGGTGGATCAGCTAACACGTGCGCATGCGGAGTAACAAACTCTTGCTTAAATGGCCAAAAGTGTAATTGTTACAACGGTGGCAGCGGCTGGAGAGAGGACAGCGGTCTGCTGACAGATAAGTCTGCTCTTCCTGCGACAAAGATCAGACTGGAAGACTTTGATAAATCAACTGTNCAAAAAGCGTTTAGCCGGATACCAAAGAAGAAAAGGGCAGTGGAAAATGGGAGCCTTACAATACTCAAAGTAGAAAAAGCAGATGGCGGGACGTATGCATGTACTGCAAAGAATCTCCTTGGACATGACACCGCAATCGCACAGGTGACCGTGATCGACAGGCTTAAATTTACCCTGACTCCACCCATTAAAACTGTCACCTCGGTGTCTTGGAAGTTGATGTTGCACTGTGAAGCTCAAGGTGCGATAGAAGTTGACTGGATTAGAGTGGGAAAACATCTTCCACGAAATCATATTTTGTATCCAAATGGTACTTTACTTCTTAGGAACATTTCACCAAATGATGCAGGATCCTATACGTGCGTGGCAAAAAACTCTCTGCGTTCAGTAACTGCGACCATCTGTTGTTAAAGTGATTACACCTAAGTCTTGCAGCAGTCTTAAGTCAGGTCGCGGTGGAAGTTCATCAGGTAATTATACTATTGACCCTGATGGCAAAGGAGGCGTGGAACCTTTCAGTGTGTATTGTGATATGAGTGACAAGGGAGGAGTTGGCGTAACAGTCATGAGTCACGACAGGGAGAGTGGAGCTCATGTTGTCCATATCCCTGGGTGTGGCGTGACTCCTGGATGTTACTGTTGTCACAGAAAAGATGTATCTTACACTGGAGTTAGCACAGCTCAATCGGCGGCACTCACTCTAGTCTTACAACTGAAACCTGTGAACAGTTTATTAAATTTGAGTGTAAAAATGATGTTGCCTTTGTGCCAGAGTCAGTTGCCTGGTGGGTGTCACGTGATGGAAGAAAAATGAACTACTGGGGAGGCGCTGGTGGATCAGCTAACACGTGCGCATGCGGAGTAACAAACTCTTGCTTAAATGGCCAAAAGTGTAATTGTTACAACGGTGGCAGCGGCTGGAGAGAGGACAGCGGTCTGCTGACAGATAAGTCTGCTCTTCCTGCGACAAAGATCAGACTGGAAGACTTTGATAAATCAACTGTGGAAGGATATCATACATTAGGAAAGCTCAAGTGTTATGGCCAGGCATGAACTGATTTCTGTAAATAGTTTTGGACACATAGGCATTTCTTGTTTTGCAAAAGAAGGAAAAAACAGTGATAGGGTTATGCGGCTAAATTAATCATATGCAGCTAAATTTTGCAAAGAAAACTTTGCTTTTCAAGACAAACAGTTATTTTTGTTTAGTTATATGGATCGGCAGATTGTGTTAGTATGGGAAACGAGCAGCCGGCCCGAATGCCGATCTCTTCACTTACCCAGGATATCATACATTACGATAACTTAAAAGGTTATGGCCTGGCAAGTGAATTCTAAGTGATTTCTGTAAAAGTTTGGATACCTTACCAATTTTTGTTTCAAAAAATGATAGTACCTTATTATAGAAAATTAACGCTTTATAAAATTAACCGCGAATTTCCAAAATTCGCGTTAATTTATGTTAATGTTTATTTCCGTGCCGTTAATTCTATAAGTGTAGCGTTAATTTCCATTATTTTGACCCCAATTCTCAATACCTTGTGACATTCTTGACACCTAAGAAAGAGGAGTATTTTTATCAGGGTGGAGTTCCGCCAGTTATAGAGAAACTGTGTAGAACTTGAGTGGCCTGATTTCTTCCCGTAAACCCTTCGTACGTTTAAGGAAAGAGCCTAGCCAAAAACAAAGTAGCCATTTCGGATTTCAAGTTTAACTTTAATCCTGTTGTCTCAACAAGTTTTGTTTCTTTGTAAACGTCGCGTCAATTTCCTTTATTGTGAAATGTTGCCCCCTCGTCTGCGTTAATTTCCTTAATTCGAAAATCGTTTACCACTAATTTCGCGTTAATCTAAGTCGCGTTAATTTCCAAAACCTTAATTTCATAGAGCGTGAATCTCCTATAAGAAGGTATGCAGATAAATTGTAAACAGTTAAATGTTGCAAATAATACTTTGCTCTACGAGGCTAGCCGGGCATAAATAAAGCTTTTTAAATCTCTTGAGACAAAATGGCCGCCACGTGACAAAGGTCTATTACGGCACCCACTTACTCCCTCGAGAGGGAGATTTCATTTTGACACTAAAAGCATCCCGACATTTTTAGAAAATTATGCTTTGGAAGATTGCCTGAAATATCCTGACCTTCAAGATCAGAGTTGGTAAATGCTGATGAGGACTCCCGCACAGAATATACACGCATCCAGGCATGTTTTTAAGGTTGACCACTAGTACTCTAACGGGGTCTAAGTCCTCTACGTACCCTTCGATCATGAACAGCAGCGAGGATTCTTTCACGTTCCACAAGGATCAAAATCTTAAATGTTTAACCGCTTGTTGACGTGCGAATAAGGGCATGTACAATTAGCCTCCCCCGCATGAAGTTCTTAGCGGTTCGTCACGCGTTCCTGCCCCGAATTTGGTGGGGCAGGAACGCGTGACGAACCCCTAAGAACGACTGTGTACCGCAATATGCTCAGTTATTTTAAGACCCCACGTTGGTCCGGCTCTCACTCCCCTCCCCTTGCCTTATAACCCCTCTCTGTCTCACGCCCTTCCCTACTTTGCAATTATTACTATAATCTAAAGGCTACTGAGTTTCCGGTTATTTAATAGCTCTCCTTAACTTTCAGGCCCATTAAAACTTTGGTTAACAGCCAGAAAAAGCGGAAATGTTAAGCGAAGCGGAGGTCAGGTTTCTGAGAGTTACGGGTTATTAATGATGTCGTTATATGGGACACTTCACAGAAAGAAATGACTACTGAAGGTGTTAGACTCGAAAATTGCAAAAGTCGAGTTGACAGTCTTCGAATTGCTTCAAGTTTCAACTGATTCGTTTGTTTCAAATACCAACGCTCTTAAGCTGACTGATGGGGACGTCAAAGACGCGCTCGGTCTCCAACACTCTAGCCTTTTCGTCAATAGTTCTCTCCATTGTTTGTTTCGTGGCACTGGTTCAGGTTGAGGTCGAACTTCACGCTCATCGAAAAATGCTTCAAGTTCTAACTCACCACAGAGAAGGAAATGTTGCGCCAAGCCAAACTGGAAATAACGAGCTGATTGCTTTCCCGCCACACGGTTACTCGAATAAAGGTGAGTGCCAGGTTTCTTACGTTGGTTGCTGAATGAATTCCCACTTAAACGGCAAGATAACATGTTTACTGAATTTACAAAGGTGAAAAGTAGAACTGAACAACACCGCGAAGCGGGAATAAAACAGCTTATGTGCGGCTTAATTCCGTAATGAGCGAGTTTAGTTATAAATACTGGACAAAAATCAGAGCAGCGGCGTCTTATATAAATAATGTAAAACTATACTTAAACATTCATATACCGAAGCTGTGTACATAAAAACTTTAACAGGTTTTTTTATTTTTGATGTGAATAAGGCATTAAAATGGCAAATAGGCTCCTTATTTCTTTAATTCATGACTATTTCGTACTTCGATATTAAGTATATAATAGCGTTTTGAGAGTATGCTAGTTGTAGAGGGCGTAATTAGACTGTTCACAGTCCCCTATTTTTTCGTGAGATCGTTTAGATAAACCGCGTCTTTCCGTCACGGCTATCTTGATTTTCAAATTTTACTGAGGGGGCGGGCGTCGGGGATTATAGCCGCCCCCGCCCCCTAAGTAGTTCTGACACTCATCCAAGATGGCAGCCCGTAACGCAAAGCGCTCAATCTCGATGATCTTACGGAAAAATAGAGTACTGTGAACAGTCTAAGGGCGTAATATTCTTTCTATTTCAAAATACGCAAAAATTGGAAGTTTAATATTACATTATCGAGAGGGAAGTTTCAGCTGTGGGGGTAGCACGTGCTATAGTGAAAACAGGAAGTGAAAGAAGAGATGATAGAGGCGTTCGGCTACATGAGGTCACAGCGTATGGTATATTTCCTTACACCAGCATGAGACTCGTCCACACGTATCCTAATATTTTTGAAAACGGAGATTTTTTTCTTTACTTGACAAAAAAAAAGAGTCCAGAGGTAGTGTAATGGATCGTTTTTCGCCTGTCCAAACGAAAGTCCAAATACGATAGCATCCCTGATAGGGCATGCGCTGTATGACGTCCGGTATGATAGCCGCAACACGTGGTAGTTTTGTACAGAAAAACCTCCCCTTTGTCTGAAAGAATAAGGATATCTTCTGCCCTGCTACAGGTCGAAAGCCGAGATGGAGTCAAAATATATGTTACTCTAACCAAAATTCTTTACAAACCATTAGTTATTGATTAAAAAAGAGAAAATGGACACGCGCGTTAAGATATTCCCAGGATGGACCTGTATTTGAAAATAGCAATACAGTAATACACATAACAAAGAGTGCGGCGGTGATGCTTCAACTTAAGAAACTGGGATAAAACCTGCAAAATATATGGAGTGATATTTTAACTCACAAGAAAAGAAGGCCAGAATTCTTCTAAAATTTGGTTTTATCACCAATTGTGTTTATAATTTAATTGCAGAAACGCACGGTCGCTACAAACGCAGCTCAAAAAATAAAAACAAGAAATCAAACACAAGTCTAATTGTCAGTCGTGACGACATCAAAAGAGAAGTCCAGCTGGCCCTGAGTAGCCTGGCCTGTAAGGTAAACTGTCCGAGAGGAATAAGGGGAAGACGAGGAAGGCCTGGTGCCCCAGGCAAGCATGGTCCTCCCGGACCGCGTGGACCCCAAGGACCTAAAGGAAACAAAGGTGCTCAAGGAGATCAGGGGCCTGCTGGACCTAAAGGTGATCAGGGCCCTCAAGGACCCAAGGGCAATCCTGGTGAATCCATCTCAGCTCCTTCTATTGTGTCACCTCCAGTGCCTATGGTTGTAAACGAAACTGGTATAGCCACATTGCAGTGTGAGGTTAAAGGAAATCCACAACCACAGGTCACGTGGCTGAAACAAAACTACAGTCTTCTCTCCGATAAACGAATCGTCGAATCACGTGGTGGATTAATTATTAGAGATGTGACGTCACAAGATGGCGGACTCTACACTTGTAAGGCAAGAAATATACTTGGCGTTATTACATCATCCGCAGCGTTAACTGTGCAAGGTACATAAAAAAGCCTACTTAGCTTTAACTTGTCTTAATTCAATTATTTATAAGCTTGTCGTATGTGCGTGTTATCAAAGGTTAAAATCATGCTAAAAATTAGTTTATTACGAGTAAATGCATTGACTTCTGGCAAAAGCATCTTAACAAAGAGAACGCAGGTCGGCAACAAAAAAAAAGCTGGCTTAATTCTTCGTTGTGTAGTTAATTAAATGCATTGAAATTTTTTGAATATTTTAACATAATAAATTGTTCACATACTGTCTCTGCAAGTGCTAGGGGCGCCCCAAGCAACGACAATTTTCGGAAAATATCTGTTCGGAAGACGATTTGAGATCTAGAATATTCGGAGCATTTGTTGTAGAATTTCTTGCTTGACTGCCTTTCCTAGGATTTTCGAACATCTAAAAGATGGTGTAATTGCCCATTTTTAACGGATTTTTACTCTTAAAAGGCCGCGTAGAATTTTCAGGAGCCTTTTTTCTGGCTGAAATTTTCGGAAAGGTAAGCTTTGATCCCTATAATTTTCGGATTACTAGACTTTCAGCTAGGAAATCCGAACAGATGAAAAATTTTAGGGGATAAAAATATGCCTATATCTACCGTTCAAATACTATTCTCGTTGGGTGCCCCTGAAGTGCGGCTCACACAATGTTATATTTCTTTATCCTTTTCTTGGCAAGCACGCTTCTAAGTGCATGTAATCATGCCAATAAAGGCCAGTGCTATAGAGTATAGCATATGAAGAATCTCAATTTAAAATTCAGTTCTTAATCTATATTACGGGACCGCTTGTTCAAGTCGTTTTGTGTGTTCAGCTTCAACAAAACTTGTCAACCCCATTGATTTTTGTTTCGAACTTGTTGAAGACTATTCAGTTTAAAGGGCGAAAATTTATTACGCAAAACAGCTTGTCTCATTCACTGTTTTCTTGTAGTATTATTCAAACACCAATGACCCCTGAAAGATCTCTGCTGTTCGACTAAGTATTTAGGGAGGACATCAGAATTGATGAATATTGCAGTTTTATGGAGACAACTTACAAAACCTGGTTCAAGTTTGTACATCAGCAACGACATTTTCCTCATTTAGGGCGTTTTTTAAGTGTGTTTTTAAAATCTCAAGGGCATTCATTTTATCAAACGAAAATCAAATGAACTGCCGAGCTTGAATTCAGAGGTAGGGCACATACTTGGCGTCAACTCAACTCGAATTACAATATCCTTCTTCTTTTCTCCAGTTGGTGCCAAGATCACTCATAAACCCTTCTCTATCATCGTCGAAGAAGGGCAAAACGCGATCCTACAGTGTAAAGCCGGTGGTCAGCCGACTCCCAAAATCACGTGGCGAAGAGCATTGAGTCACTTGCCTAAAGGGAAGACAAGAGTGGTTGATGGGAATCTGACCATAGTGGGTGTGGCTAAATCAGATAGCGGGGCTTACGAATGTTCAGCAAAGAATCTCCTGGGTCAGGAAACTGCTGTCGCCATATTGATGGTGATTGAAAGACTTAGATTTACCATTTCCCCTCCACTGAAAATTACAGCTAAGAAATCCAGCGATTTGATGCTGAACTGTAAAGCTCAAGGTTCAACAGTGATCATTTGGAAAAGAGCGGGAAATCTTCTCCCGGGAAACCATGTAATTCATCGCAACGGAAGTTTACTTTTACGGAACATTAATTCACAAGATGCAGGTTCATATACTTGCGTAGCAAAAAACGCTCAGCGTTCTATACAGGCAACATCTGTTGTTGAAGTGCATATACGTAAGTACACAATACTCAGTATTAGAACTTCAACCAAAGCTACTTAAAGTATTAATTAAAGTTTCAAAAATCGTACAGGGGGACTAGGTTCTACTAAGAGACTCAATGGGGTTATTAAACCGTCAGCTGCCAAACAGCGTAAAATGCAGATTAATTGTGTTAACAAACAAAGAAGTTTTAAGCTATTTCAAATCTTACTATTTCAGCTTATCTTCACGGACTTCAGGCTCCTGAAGAATCTCGAAACTGGAAAAAACCAGTCACCATGTTCGCAAAAACATTCTCTCTTGACATGGCAAGACTTTAGATTTGCTTTTATCTGACAGTATTTTAAAAGTTCATAAGTTGAAGGCCAAGACAACCTGCATAACTCAACAGTTAACAATATTGAATACTGAAGGTAATATTTTCTTATCACTCTTGACTTATTAAAACTCTTCAACTAAATTTCCACTGAATTAATAACCATCAACCGCCAAAAGCTCTAAAATGTAACCGTCAACTGTCAAAATTAGAAAAACACTACCGTCAACCGTCAAAGCTACTAACCCATTGAGATCCTCGTTTTTGCCAGAAAACACTTAACCATATACTGAAATGTCCACAAGGCTTGAAAAAGATTAAAATGATAGACAAGTGCTTAATCTAATAAAAACCTCTTTCCCGGATGCAATCTTATGTCTCCAACGCTGAACGCTGTTTATTGGGGAAAGGATTTATTAATTATATTTAATATATATTTTATAATCATTTTTACGTTCTTAATATACTTGACTCCATTACTACTCCTTTTTAAATTTATAAGACATGAGCTTTTGGCTCAGATACTAAAGGGGACGGACCATTAGAAAAGTGAAAGGGGAGGGTAGAGAAAAACCAAAAATCCGTACATGAAAAAATGAGTATATGTAAAAAATGCATACAACCGGAACAGGTAAGAAAATATTTGCAACAGCTAAAGCGAAAAAAGGGGAAAACGGCGAACAAAAAAACATTTAAGCTTATTAACATTGATAAATTGATTGATTGACGGATTGATTGATCCCTTCTTCTTTATAGCCCGGTGGGTGGAATATACACCCCAATGGTGTGGAAGTAGCAATCGAAGAAATATTGCACGTAGACGCAGCCTTACACTTGAGGAATGCAAAAAACTCTGCGCAGGTTGTGCTGCAATTGAATACTGGTCTGGAAGAGATAAGGAGTGCAACAAGTGCCTGGATCACACAAAACGGAGGTCATACACTAACACTGGGGATTCCTATTATCCACCGCACGTGTTTATTTGGGAATGAATCGCATCAGTTAAGAAAGACAAAATGCGTTTTCCTCAGGGACGGACGATCGAGTGTCTAATCACTGGTCTAATCGTGCGGTTCACATATAAGTCAGGCTCATGTTAAGTTCAGCGTCTACTGGAAGATTTAAAATCCGAAATATTCAGACTCTACTATTTATCCTATAGCAATGGTCATCACTGTATTAGCTTTATTTTTTACTGAATAGAGCAAACTAAGTACCATGCAATGTTAAAATTTTGTATTTGTAATTTTGCGTCATCTACTAGACAATTAATTTAGGTTATGTCCATTCTTTTTTATGCTATGAAGAGACTTTCAGTTGTACTCTCTGTATCGTCGGTTTTCCCCGCCCCACGCCTAGGGATAGACAAAAACGTGATGTACGCATAATAATAATAATAATAATAATAATAATAATAATAATAATAATAATAGTGATGATGATGATGATGATGATGATGATGATGATGAAAATGATAACGATAATCAAACATGCAAAACGATAATCATAATCATAATTGTCTTGTATTTAGGCTTTTCTACTTACAATTGGCTCTTCATCAAAAAAATTAATTTTAGTAATAGTAGCAAACTACAAAACCGAACCAATGAGGTAAGCTACAAGAAAATTCACACTTAAAATATGTAGTGATTTTAGTGGAAACTATGAGAACACCTATTTAAAAGCTTAGAATTTACAATACAGCAAAAGAAAATATTATATAAATAACAAGGGTGAAAATCTTTTGGGACGTGAATTAGGTACGCAGGAGGCGCCGTGTTCTTTAGCATTCACCAGTTAAAGATATTTTTAAATGAATGATAGCATTTTGGGTGCACAGTCAATTCTCTCAAACGTGACTGAGGAAACTCGCTGTTATTCTGACAGCAACGACGTCCCCAACAATACTAAATAAGACGATTGACTCAAATAAACTCCCCCTCTTTTACCATCCGTCTCTATTTAAGACTAAAGACTCTTACTTGCGGTCCCGAGAGTGTTCAAAGTAAAGGGAGTGGAGGAGACTCCTCCTCCTAAGCGTGTTTTCGAGTTTTTTTGTTTAAGCTTTGGTCTGAATGAACACTTAAAGAAGCAGAGGACTACTGGACTAGCTTACGAAATAAACCATTAACAATAGCTTGACTATATTCTTCGATCTCCCTTGCTCAAACCAATAACGAAAAAATCTGCGATCAGGCGGTCCTTCTTCCCTTTCTGTCCCCCCGCCCCGGGCCCCGCCCTTCCCGCCTGATCGCAGGTTAACATCAAAGAAGAGGTGATGTTGCATTGCTGAAGTTGACAAAAAGTCAAAGTCATCATATAATGCACCGACTTCCTCCCTCGAGAGGGAGATTTCATTTTGATACTAAAAGCATCCCGGCTTTTGTAGAAAATTATGCTTTGGGAGATTGCCTGAAATGTCTTGACCTTAAAGATCAGAGTTCAGGTAAATGCTGATTGGTCAGGACCTTCTGCAAAATTCCAGTATAATTCCTTTGAACAAACGAATAGTACAATCAAGTGGTGGATTTATGATTCGAGATGTGACGTCACAGGACGGAGGTGTGTACACGTGTAGGGCGAGAAATATTCTTGGAGTCATGATCTCATCATCTGTTCAAGGTAATTTACTTCCCAATACCAACGTCCCAGTAGTCTTAATTCGCTTTCAAACATCTAAACAACTAAATACTGTTTAATACAGTACTAGCAAAAGTGAGAATTATGGAGATCTCCTCAATCTCCATAATTCTTCATAAGATACTCAGCCTCATTCATTAATTGTTAAATAGTCGCGAAGGGAGTCAAAAGGTCGACAGAGTCGGAGGCGGTCGGAAGAATCGGAAAGTCCGGCTAGCAGGCTAGTCTTTTCTTCTGTGAACAGTATATCAAGTTTGAGTGTAACGGGTATGTATCCTTTGTACAGCAGTCAGTTGCCTGGTGGGTGTCACGTGATGGCAAGAAAATGAACTACTGGGGAGGAGCTGATCGATCAGCCAACACGTGTGCATGCGGAGTAACAAACTCTTGCTTAAATGGTCAAAAGTCTAATTGTCACGAGTTGGGCAGAGGCTGGAGAGAGGACAGCGGTCTGCTGACAGACAAATCTGCACTACCTGTGTCACAAATCAGACTGGCGGACCTGGGTCAACCAGGTGACGAAGGATACCACACACTAGGAAAACTCATGTAGCCTGGCCTGAGATTTCAACATAAGATGAAATTCCTCAGTAATAATGCAGCTACTCTCGTGAAAATGATCGACTATAACATCTATATGTATCTATCTATAACATCTATAATCAAATAAACAGGGTTGCAAACAAAACTTTGCTGTATCTGTGGCCATTAGCGGTCATTTTTCTGTGCTTTCTGTCCACTCAGTTATAGATCGGAGATTACGCTAGAATGTACAAAGGGCCGAACGGCCAGACTGAACAGTCCGTTTTTCTCACTTTTAACAGCTAGTAGTCTTTTATTCGTAGCTGATTACCTTTAATCTGGCCCAGTAAGCACCTTTTTAATAAACGTTCTTTAGGTAAATGCTAACTATCTTTCGTTTAGCGAAGCTTTGAAAGGGCAAGAGGACGTATTAATTCTGAAAATTTCTCCTTATAATATGCTCAAGTAAGCGTCCCTTCTCTCTCTCCTTTTTATTTTTTCTCTTCCTCAACAGCTTTGCAAATTTTCATTCATTAATTGTCTCGGTTTGTGAAGGCTTGACGGAACTAAAGAAAAAAAACGTAATTAGGTACTGGGTACTACTTCGAATATAATGGAAATGTTACAAGGCTCTTTAGCTCCTATTAAATCGACAATAGCTAATTGAAATGAATTGCAACGCCAACCTTCCGGGAAAATAATTACTTTTTAGATTTAATTGTTTTCTATCAAAGAGCGTTACATTTACAAAAGTAAAAAATAAATATATAAAATAAAATTACATACAATGAATGAATAAATCAATAAATAATTAAAAAGATAAAGCAATAAAATTATATTATGTCTTCTTCACTTAAGGGCTTTTTAGTATTATATATGAAACAAATCATTCAAATTAAACATAACGAGGTTAAAAAATTGTAGAGGCAAATCAGTTTGCTATTTAAAAGCGTGTCTCGAGGATTCAACAAACTGAAAGTCCGGGGAGGGCTTGATAACGTAGCAGGGAAGAACCGGGCTGATGAATTGAATTCATAACTATTAATAGGAATTTATCTGTATCTGCAGCAAAGCCGTCTATTTACGAGTGATAGATGTCATTGACTTTTTTTTCGACTTCTCTTCGCAGATTTTGTTCAAAACTTTGGCCTACTTCTTGGAAGAAACGTCTGTTTATATCCTGAAACCGTGCTGAGAAGTAGGCCAAAGTTTTGACTGAACAAAGTCTACGAAGAGGTAAGCTTGTTTAAAAACTTAGAAATATTTTGAATGAATAATATCAAACAATTATTACTGAAATGAGGCTGTTGAGTATGTGAGGAATTATGCAGATCTCGGAAGATGTCATCCACCTCGGCCGAGGTGAATGTCCGGGGGTGGATGACATCCTCCTCGATCTGCAGAATTCCTCACATCATACTTAGCAACCTCATTCAGTGATTGCTAATAGCTAAAGACTAATCTTCCATTTATACTTTCTTTTTAAGGCATTTCATAAATATGCAGATCCAAGTCGACCACAGAAACAGAAAGGAGGGGTCATGCAGAAAAATCAGAGTACACAGTAAGAGTTGTTAAAGAGTTTTGCATTCAAAAGAAAAAAAAAAAAGATAAAAAAACTCTTTTTTTGGCGTGGCTCCATATGATCAGGGTGGGATAATCTATTTGCTAAATAAGCAGATGAAATCTTCATGGTATAAGTTGCAAAGGAGTAAGACTTTGGTTTAACCTCAACGGACATTTTTCTCCATGCTGGGCATGAAAAAATATTGGATTAAACATTTTCAGCTTTAACCACAGGGTAAAAATCACAGGTCTACACAAAATATCTTACCATTTCTCCTCTTTGGAACATTGGATCAGTTCAGAACATCACTAATGGATTCGATCTGTGTAGTTTTATTTTTAAATCGATGGACTATTGATTACAAACTGTGATAGAAACATCGTAACAGCAGCTTCCGTTTCGTAATGACGGATTTGCTATTTTGCTAGTTTTTCCGTCTTTATGAAGACGCTAGTACACTCTTTATATAAGCAAAACCATTTTTAGAATATTTAGAGTAACAACTTTTAAGTTGTTAAAAAGTGAAGTTCAGTGTAGTTATGTGACATAATACTTTATTTGAATAACGTACGTGTAACCTGCATGTTCTTTTAATGTCCATAAGGGTCGTCTTACAATAAAGCATGTTTACAAAGAAAGCCTTCTCAGTGACCTGGAAAAGAGCCGGTATTAAAAAGCGGAAACAGGGTTAGATTGAAAGCTAACGCCATCGTGAGTCGTCGTCCGCTAAAACATCCTTTTGAACTACGACAATCATAACTTTTGCACAAGAGTTTGCTTCAACCATTTTGTTGCAAGTACTTTCACTTGCTTAAAGCACTCTGATCACTAAATTTATTTTTCGACTGTGTTGTTGAAATGGAAACGAAGAAGCGTCCGATCAACAACCCCCTTATGTTTTCGTCGATAGTTTTCTCTTTTGCGCTCTGTTTCGTGGCATTGATCCACGTCGAGATCGAGCTTCACGCTCATCGAAAAATGCTTCAAGTCTTGACTCGACAGAGAGAAGAAAGTATCTACTCACGAGGCACTGTGGAAGATAAACCGATTGCTTCCGCGCGGCGCAGTGACACTGGTAAAGGTGAGTGCTTTGTTTTACTTGTTCGCTGATTCTCGTTGGCTTGAAGTTCTAACTGCTGCATTTCGCAACAACGCCCTCAATAGTTAGATGTCATCCAGTAATTGTTTAATACTGATCAGAAAAGTCATTCTGGCGTATTGGTTTCAGTTCAGCTGTTTTGGTACAAGTTGAGAAGATTTCCCTTTCTCTTCTGAAGGGCTGAAACCTAACCTGACAAAGCGTAACTGTGGTGATGCAATTTTAGTATTCCCCGGATAGAAGTGTCTTTTCTTTTCTTTTTAGTGCATGAAAATATATGGCATGCAGTACAGTAGATAAAGTTTGTCTTTAGCCAGTATTAGTAAAGCCGCTAAAAAAATATTGTGCAAAGGCATAATTTTGTCTTTAAGATAGAAGGGGCAATTAAATCGACCAAAACATTCTTTCACTGAACGATCATGAAAATGACATAAATTATTTCTCAATTGCAGAAATACGCATTCGTCACAAACGCAACTCGAAAATAAACGAGGAAACAAACGCCAGCGAAATCATCAGCCAAGATGACAATGAAAGGGAGGTTAAACTGGCGATGATTAACCTAGCCTGCATGGCGCATTGCCCGAAGGGTATCAGGGGAAGACGAGGAAGGCCTGGTCCCCCCGGCAAACATGGACCAGTTGGGCCCCAGGGACCACAAGGACCAAGTTGACCTCAAGGAGATCAGGGGCCTCCTGGACCTAAAGGCGATCAAGGCCCTCAAGGGCCTAAGGGCGATCCTGGTGAATCCATCTCAGCTCCTTCTATTGTGTCACCTCCGTCTTCCATCGTGGTAAACGAAACTGCTATAGCCTCATTGCAATGTGAGGTTAAAGGAAATCCAATACCTCAGAAAATTCGCGTCTTACCCCCGACAAAAGAATCGTGCAAACACGTAATGGCCTGATGATAAGAGATGTGACGTCACAAGACAGAGGTGTGTACACGTGTCAGGCGAGAAATATTCTTGGAGTCGTGACCTCATCGCCCACATTAACTGTTCAAGGTAATACACCTTTTTACTTTGTATGTTTTGTTTTCACAATTCAGACCACGTGATGTTCTTCAGGGAATTTGCCTTTTGTCTTTTCCTTAATTAGCATATAAAGGCACGTGGATGCACTTGCCTAAGACAGAATTAAAAAGAAAATAAAAACAGTTCTCTGGGGTGCCATCACGTGGTCTGAAATGGGAAAACAAAACTTACAAGCTAAAAACCTCTATTACTTTCTAGTCTTATTTTCCTGGTGGACTCTCAGCTTCCGTTACACTACCAGCAAACATATATTACCCAACCAAGTTCTGATGAGCTCTTGGATGTACACTTTGTTAGGTTGTTTACATGCACACTTTACCGCTTACAATATATTTTTCCTAATTTTGTACACAGTTGTACATATTTAAAGTTGTTTTTAGGTGTTGGTGGTTCAAGATTGGTGGTTCTTGTGAGATTATAGCCTTAGTATTAAGTCTAAAGCAGGAGGGGGGGGGGGGGGGGGTTTTTC